CTCTCTCTCTCTCTCTCTCTCTCTCTCTCTCTCTCTCTCTCTCTCTCTCTCTCTCTCTCTCTCTCTCTCTCTCTCTCTCTCTCTCTCTCTCTCTCTCTCTCTCTCTCTCTCTCTCTCTCTCTCTCTCTCTCTCTCTCTCTCTCTCTCTCTCTCTCTCTCTCTCTCTCTCTCTCTCTCTCTCTCTCTCTCTCTCTCTCTCTCTCTCTCTCTCTCTCTCTCTCTCTCTCTCTCTCTCTCTCTCTCTCTCTCTCTCTCTCTCTCTCTCTCTCTCTCTCTCTCTCTCTCTCTCTCTCTCTCTCTCTCTCTCTCTCTCTCTCTCTCTCTCTCTCTCTCTCTCTCTCTCTCTCTCTCTCTCTCTCTCTCTCTCTCTCTCTCTCTCTCTCTCTCTCTCTCTCTCTCTCTCTCTCTCTCTCTCTCTCTCTCTCTCTCTCTCTCTCTCTCTCTCTCTCTCTCTCTCTCTCTCTCTCTCTCTCTCTCTCTCTCTCTCTCTCTCTCTCTCTCTCTCTCTCTCTCTCTCTCTCTCTCTCTCTCTCTCTCTCTCTCTCTCTCTCTCTCTCTCTCTCTCTCTCTCTCTCTCTCTCTCTCTCTCTCTCTCTCTCTCTCTCTCTCTCTCTCTCTCTCTCTCTCTCTCTCTCTCTCTCTCTCTCTCTCTCTCTCTCTCTCTCTCTCTCTCTCTCTCTCTCTCTCTCTCTCTCTCTCTCTCTCTCTCTCTCTCTCTCTCTCTCTCTCTCTCTCTCTCTCTCTCTCTCTCTCTCTCTCTCTCTCTCTCTCTCTCTCTCTCTCTCTCTCTCTCTCTCTCTCTCTCTCTCTCTCTCTCTCTCTCTCTCTCTCTCTCTCTCTCTCTCTCTCTCTCTCTCTCTCTCTCTCTCTCTCTCTCTCTCTCTCTCTCTCTCTCTCTCTCTCTCTCTCTCTCTCTCTCTCTCTCTCTCTCTCTCTCTCTCTCTCTCTCTCTCTCTCTCTCTCTCTCTCTCTCTCTCTCTCTCTCTCTCTCTCTCTCTCTCTCTCTCTCTCTCTCTCTCTCTCTCTCTCTCTCTCTCTCTCTCTCTCTCTCTCTCTCTCTCTCTCTCTCTCCCTCTCCCTCTCCCTCTCCCTCTCTCTCTCTCTCTCTCTCTCTCTCTCTCTCTAATTTCATCTCAGCAACGCAATTTCAGTCGGTAATGCAAGCGGCTCAGTTTTTCACATCGTTATACGATCTTCTCGGGTTACGTGTTGTTGTATCTTCTCGCTGTGGGCGAAATGTTTGCGAAATAAATTCAGATTAACATCTATGCGGCGTTTCTCCGCACAATGTTCGCCCCGCGTGAGATAAGATGGAATTCTATCTCCGAAATGACCGACACAAACGATAAAAACAATTCGACAACGTTTCGTTACAATTTGGTCACAATTGTACATATTCACCGCGGGCAAGATGCGTTACAAATAGTCCAAGTATGTTTTGCTCTGTCCTTTGAAATCGGGAATGTTTTAGGTATTACGCGATAGTGCATCCAATGAGAGCGCAGTATACGTGTACGATAAGCCAAGCTCGCAGGATTGTAATTATAACTTGGATTGCGGCGTTCCTATTAGGAATTCCAATAGTGTTCACACAGGTACGTATTTGTAGACATTAAAGACATCATTTCTTATTTCGTTTCGCGCGACGCGTAAATGGTTATTCTGTTCGTTTCGCATATGCAATATATGATGCGACTCGTTATTCGAAATATTTCGCTCATTCGTTTGTTCGTTCGTTCATCCGCTCGCTCGCTCGCACGCATACACCTACGAAATACGACGATAGTTGACGCTTCGCAGGTCGATAAAATTGATGCAAACTGCTCTTTACCCACGTACTTTAAAGAATAGTGGTTTATCTGGAGCGTTAGAAAGACACTAAGCCGGGATAATCGGCCGCGTAGTGGAAGATCAAGCGAATCCAATGCGATGGGATTTTCACCTGGCGGAAACTCTTTGCTAGAGCTGGCGACAATTCTCCAGACGGCAGAAGCTCGATATATCCTGCCCTGCTAAATAATTCAGGCTGTCTCACGCTGAAAGTCTCTATCCTAACTACACTGTCCCCCCCCCCCCCC